ACTCTGCATGTAGCCTATGAGACTACACAATTGGGGCACACAAGAGATTTTCAAAATAATCCTATTTTGTGTTCATCAGAATAAATTCAGTGAGTGATTGCATAAAAAAATTCAGTAGTATTGTTTAGATAAAAAATCGAATAAAACATTTTGTTTCATTCAGATCAAAATGGCTGCTAAATTCTCTCTTTAATAAACATTTATCTATTTCTGTTTTTACTTTTTTCCTTTGTTTTATTTATTTACTCACTTTTTTCATTTGGTGATCTTGTCAGGGCATTACCGATTTGTAGCAAGGTCATCAGTTTATATCATGGTTTGCCAATATTTGAAGGGACATATTTATGTGAGAGATACAGTTATGGTATTATGAAAACATAGGATGTTTTTTTTAACCAGAAATAGGAATGGAACTACAAACAACATTGTGCATTTAGCATAAATATTTTATTGCCTTCGCAAAACTAAATAGGAAGGACATAAGTTGAAGCGTATATATTGAAATGTCCTTGTTCATATGTACAGTGTGTGCATAAAGTCATAGTGAAGACACTTACATTGAAGAAGAGTTTCTTGTTGCTCTGGTAGAATGCTGTGTTGGATACAATGTAACATATGATTTGCTGGTGCCTAAAAAGTCCTTGAGAGGGAAAACTAGATGGGTCTTGTCCTTACAGCTTCCTGTGGGTAAAGAGCAAGAGATCTTGTGTCTTTCCTTGTTCTTGATGTTGTTAAAAAAGAACTATCCTTTTTAAAATTCACCCAGTGCTAGATCTGGGTTTTAAATAAAGGCCAGTCTTGTTGAAAATATTAGCTGTTGCTAATAGGTATTTCTTTTAATACATACACATCTGGTTAAACAGGAGTGAAGCATCTGAAACTGACCCATCTTTATTTATCCCGTTGTATTGTTTTAAATTACAAATAGAATTTTTCATTAATTTTCACATGAGATGCTGACTTAATCAAAATATAAACTTGTCTCTGTGTTTTGCCTATTGTGAACGTCATTCACAAATGATACATTTTAGAGTTTGGATAAAGACAAAGAAATGTATGTTAGTTTCACATTCTATGAAAAAGCAATTAACATCCATCAAATGTAATTACTTGTTTCTTTTTAATATTCTTGAAAGGCTGTGAAACATTTTCCCATTCTCACAACACTTCAGCTGCCTCTGCTTCAATCTTGCTGTCATAATAATTTATTTTCGGAAGTTGCTAAGTATTGTGTTACATAACCAAGGATTTCCGTGTATATAGTGCAATTTGAATTATCTTCCATTCAGTTTCTTTTATTACTCATTTTAAGTTGAATCTTATATATAAAACAGAATGTGATTTTATATTTATCAGTCAAGCAACCTGATCTCACTATTTAGCAATTAATTATTTTATTGTTGTAACACAAGGAATTAACTGTTTCCACTCGAAACAAGCCTGCTTTGTGTTACCGCAACTATGGAGTATCTCATTATTAAAACCATGAAACTAGGTTTTTAATTGCTTTTTATTTCTTTAGATATTTTTATTTTTAATGATTCTTTGTTTTAGGATCATTAACTTTTAATGGGATATTGTAACATGGGATGATAAATGTGAATTACTTATTGAATTGCTTGGGGTTAAATTAAAATGTAGATTATGAAATAACTTATGACAATAGGGTTAATAGTTATAATAATCCACACATATAAAAAAAAAATCAACACTATTTTCCATACAATACAAGGCTCAAAAGCCACTCAAGGGAGAGCATTACTGAATTTGGTTGTTTTATGGACGCGAGAGGAAGAGTTAAGAAGTGTAGATTTTGTGGATATGTAAGATAGATAATATTGATTCTAGAATTGAAGTGGTTAAGATTGTAGCAATTGGGGAAGCATCCCCGTGGGAGTCTGTTTCACAACTCAGTGGCTCTTGAGAAGAAGCTGTGCAAATGGAATTTAGTTAACAAATGTGTTTTGTAGCATGGCATGTCTTAGCTGTAAAGGTCTGAACTAGTAGCACAAAAGGATCTAGCTCATAAGAACATTTTCCATGGAAATAGTGAAAGAGTAACAAGAAGGCCATTGTACACTCTGGCCTTCTTCAGATGATTGGAATTTTGAGCCAAACTCTTTATTTCATCCACTTGAGTAGATTGTTCTAATTCCACAATCCATGCCTCTTCCAGATGTCTCAGTTATTTTACACTTTAACTCCAAATTCCAAGTATTTTGGTTTACCACTGCTGTGGTCTGGTATTGAACTCACAACTCTTTGGGTCTAGTCACTGGGCCATGTGTCCTTGAACTAGAACAATCTACCCTGGTGGATGAAATAAAGGGTTCAGTTCGAAATTACAATCACCTGAAGAAGACTGGAATGTACAATGGCTGAAATGTTGTGAATATGGCAATGAAGATGAGGATAACAGTCTGAATAGTGTAAATGATGCAAGTAATCATAATACCTCATCTCAGAGATATAGACAGAGTAGCAAGAAGGTTGAGGAGAAAAGGGTTGTAGGGTGGAAAATAATTCATCACCCACAAGGCTGTGTATGTGCTTTTGAACTGTATCAAGGCTGGAAAGTGAGGATTTTCATTTATTATAATAACTTTGAACCTTTTCCTATGTAATGATGTGCTAAATGTGTCGAATATGTTTCTAACTCTTAACAGTTGTTTTTGGGACATTTTTAAAGTCTGTATTTTCCTTTTGAATAACTCTGTATCATACAACTTTTGAAGACCTAATTTTGAAGCCAATTTTAAGGGGGTTGCATCATACATGAGATATAAAATTAGCACATGTACTGCTGGCCCTGGCTATACTGTTGACCAAACTATATATCCATTTACTGCAGACAAAAAGTACAGCAGTATTTAAAATAAACATGATTATGATAAAAATGATGTTTTACTTAACTGTATCCAATAATTATGCATGTAATACTCACATATTAATATCGTTTTATAAAATACAAACATAGCGAATATGCATCTTTTCTATTGTTTATGTTTATAACATAGCTGTTTCTCATTTGGTTATTTATAGTTGTACACATGTAAGCAACAATTATAGTGTTACTAACGATAGTTTTATCATTCTCTTTTACTTTTTTAATTTATTTAACTAGAAGATGGGATAAAGAGATAGAGCAAGAGAGGCTAGTCTATTGTAATTTGGTCTCAAAAAATGATACATTAGATACATAATCATTTTTATAAGTGAAAATCGTAGTAGGGGGGAGTGTAGCATGATACACAAGATCGTGCATTACACGAGTATATAATGTATATGTATAATATTCCTCATTATATGCCCAATAAATTTTAGCTATCTCGTCCTGAGTATAAATGTTCTTGTTGCCATTAAGACTTTCTTGTTTCTTATTTGCTCTAGCCATGAAATTCTCAGTATGCTTCTGTAGAAATGCATTTCTGCTGCCTCTAGTTTCTTCCTCAATGCAGGAAGATTGTCTAGCATTCACTACCATATAAGAGAATGAATATCACATAGCAATCCAGCACTCTTCTTGGTTTGTAATTAATATTTTTTCTGTTACTCAGTACTTTGCTTAGCTTTTGGAAGGCATCTTTCACTCATCCAATGCATGTTAAAATTCCTAGGTCATATTTTCTGTTGAAACTCTTCCCAGATTTTTAATTAATTGTATAATATTGAATGAAAATGTATGAATTAATTGACTTTTCTTTTATTAATGTTCACTCTATACAAGGCTGAAGAGCCACTTAAGGTAGAAAGTTACTGGAGGAAGTTGTTGTGTGAGCAGAAAGAGTAAGAGGTAAGAAGCACAGTTTATGAGGATATGTGGAAAGATAACAGTTAACCCCAGCACATGAACAGGTTAAACTTGTAGTTGTTGAGAAAAGCAACCATTTGGGAGTTGGTTGCACAAAGTAGTCATTCTTGGGAAGAAGCTGTGTGAGTGGAACTCATTTCTCACCAAGGGAATATAAAGGGAACGAGGGTTGTTTGTCTCAGTGTACACAGCATGGCAGGTATTAGCTGTGAGTGTTAGAATTGGTGGAACTAAGGAATGAAGTGAGAGGCTTGCAACATTTAGTCTGTGGGAAAAGGGTTCCAGACTGGAAAATAAATTATCACCCCACAAAGCCGCATATTGCAATGTATGGCTCGAGAGCTATTCAAGGTAGAGAGTTAAAGTGGTAATGCTGAATGAGAAGTGACGATTATGAGGATGGGGAGGATATATGATGATTTCACCCAATGCATGATTCGTGAGACATTCAATGTAGAGGGTTGAAATGCTGAATGAGGTGTGTGATATGATTGAGAAAAGTTATGGTAGGAAGTGAGGATAAAGAGGGAATATGTTGATTGAATCTTGACTTGAAGAGGTCCAGGTTGAACCATTCAGGGAAGCAACCACAAGGTAGTCTGTTAAAAAAAAGTGGCAGTACTTAGGAAAAAGCAAGGTAGAACACTATTCTTACATTTGGAATATGGGGGAAATGAAGATAATTTGACTCCTGCGGAAGTAGCATGAAGTGTCTTTGAAAAGAACTCGTAGAATGGAAAGTAAATCTTATCACCAAAAGATGATGCAAACAGTTTTAAACTCTTTCAACAGTGGAGCGTAAGGGTTGAGGAGCTACAACCCAGACATAACAGCAATACTCTGTTTTTAGTTTAATATGACTCTTGTAAAGATAATTAATGGCAGAATGAGTCAGATAAAATTATTCAACCATTTCTTGGATATCTTTGGCAATAGAATGAGTATAGAAGAACTTCTTTGGAAAGAACTTGAGAACTAAGAGACATTCAAAGCATGGCACCTCATTGAGAGTGGAACTGTTCATCATGACAAAAGAAAACTAAGAAAAAATGAAATTGTTACAGTTTCATTCTAAGAAACAAGTTTTGTCCATGCTATGTCAAGAATAGTTTATTACCATCATCCTCACATTGTAACATTTGGTAACCAAAGTTTGTCATATTCTAATGTATTAGAATTACTTGGAGGCTTGCAGCCAGATCATGCTGAAACACCTGTTCTTGTATGATCACCAGAGTTAAGCAATGTCAAGCCTGGTCTGTACCTAGATGAGTGACTGCTTGGGAATACCAGGTGCTGTAAGCTTGGCTGTGCAGCTAGTATAATCGATAATAGCTTGCAATTAAAAATTGGAAAGCTGAGTTCCAATTCCAGTTGGGTGACCTATATTCACTTATGTGCAAATATGCTTAGGAAAGGTATGAATCCAGCTTTTCTTCCCCCATATGGATTAAATAGCAGAACTTGTATAGGTAAATCATTATCTAACATCTACCATTTTTACTGCTTTTTTTTAAATCTGAGTGGAGTACTGCTGCTATATATGGTAAGGAGCTATCCAATCTTCACTTTCCAGTCTTCACAAAATCCAAAAGTATCTATGTAGGCTTTGTGTATAATGAATAATTTTTTTGACTCTTTTCCCAGAGACAAAACATTGCAAGTCTCTCATTGCTCTATCACTATTTCCGTTGCAAGTGTTCAGACAAACTACATTCCTTTGTTCTACCAGTTCAAACCTTCATGGCTAACATCTGTCACACAGTATACAGAAGCCACTAATTTGTGGACTCAACTCCCAAGAGGATATTTTCCTGATCACTACAATCTTAAGTCTAGACATAACTGATATTTTCCCCATACATCCTCATAAATTGTGCCTCTTACTGCATATTCTGTAACCCTCTACCTTGGGTAGCTCTTGAGACTTGTAGAGTGAACATTAATGTCAAAGAAAAAACTTCAAAGAAAATTTTGTTCTACTTTCAGAAACTTTGTGGTGCCATTTTCTTTTGAATTCTATTAAAGACATTACAACATGCAATGTCTATCAGTCCTGCTTGTGTGTAGATACAAATCTAATAGATTAATGCGAATTCGGAAAAAACCTGACATTTTCCAGTCACTGTGTACATGTGAGTTTATCTCTGTCTGAAAAGATAGAAAGAAAAATTTTCCATAAAATAGTTTTTTTTTGTTTTTTTTTTTTTAAATGAGAATAGAAAAAAAATTGTGCAAATTCTCATTTTTATTTTTCATCTTTCTTATATTTTTTGTTATTGACTCTAATAGCAAAAATAAGTCTGGCTTTGAGAACTCTTTGGTAAAGTGAATGTTCTTTTGTTCACTGATGGTGGCAAGGAAAAATTTGCCCCTCCCTTAAAAAAAAATTAATGGAATCACTTCTATCTATGAATTGTTTTTCAATTTGCATTCTCTTGTTTTTCAAAAACAAAACAATCCAAATGTTTCTAGATTTGATTAACCTTGGTTGAGAACATTGTTCTCAATGATTGTAGCTGCGTACTTTTGACTAATTGTTTAGTTATTATTAATCAGTGCCATCAAATATCAGTTACATTATTATTACTTTTTAAATGCTTGCATACAAGAATTCTTGAATGTTCACTGTGGACATTCATGTAGATGAAAGCAATTATGAAGACATAGAAATTAAAATCACAAAGTAGTAAAAAACTAAAAGAACAGAAATATCAAATGTTATCTTGTAAATGTACTTTTATTTTCTGTGTTTATGGTTTTCAGCAAACATTTAAAATTGGTAACAAAAGCAATGAGAAATATCTATTTGAAGAAGAACGATATTTCTTTGTAAGGCTTGCTCAGTATTTCCTCTTTAATCAGTAAATAGTTTTCATTGTTTTATTTTCTATCAGGTGTGTGAATTAATTTTTTTTTTTTACTCATTTGAATTCATCTCTTATTTTCTTTCTAAAGGAAACAGCTTTTCTAACAATGTGTATTAATTCTTGTTGTTTACTCTTAAAGATAAAAACATTTCTAAATGTTCTATGAAAACCTTCTGTTTATCTATACACAGGTTACAGGACTTAATTTTGACTTGATTTCAATGTAATTTAGCAGAAAGGTGTTATTATGGGTGCCAACTTGATCATTATAGCAGAGCAATCTCAAAAGCCATTCTAAGTGAAGTTGCTTTTCATGAGGAGCTCCATAAATCTGGCCTTGAGTGTTTGATGAAATGTTTTCATTACATTAAGTTAGAAAGAAAGTCCTATTGCAGTTGAAGATAAAAAAAGAAACAAATGCTTCTTTGGTCTTAATTGATATATTAAGATGGAAAGAAATTTCTGTCACATTTCAAGATATAAAAGAAATGAGTGCTCTTTTGTTCTTTTGTCCAAGGTAATATTTCCTCTCATTATCAAAAATGTAATTCCATCTGTTTGGCAAATTGTTGTGGGTGTGAAGTTCTTCAGATTTAATTGCAAAAAACACTCAATATCAGTTTTAAACACTTTACTGTCAAGTAAACTGTTTTCCCTCCAAATTCATTACAATGAACTGAGAGGGTGATAGTCAGGAGTGTAAATAGAATGAGGTAAATCTTCAATATTTAGAGTAATAATCTTTTCCCTTGGGCAGTATATGGTCTTGCATTATTGTGTACAGTCGCCATATTTATTTCAATGTTTCCATATTTATTACGTTTGTTGTATGCTCCTGCCTTCTTCTGGTTGGAATGTCAAACTGAACCCTTTATTTCATGCACTGGATAATCTAATGGAAAGTTCTCCACTGCCTTGACCAGGTATTGAACTCATACTCTTTGGGTCCTGTCACTGGATCTAACTAACACCTTTATCCACTGTGCCATGTCTCCTTGAGGACATCTGTGTATGTATGAATTTCTGGGTATTATAAACCTAATGTCTTCAGCAACCATTTTTTACCAGTGCTCATATTGCAATTTTTGCTGTTATCATTGCATGTTTTTTTACCAGAGCTCATATTGCAATTTTTGTTGTTGTTATCACTTTTCTCTGGTACTCCTTATTACTGGTTCCCATATTGTATTCATTTCTATGCTTCGTCAGCTCAGGAGATTTTTGTGGCCTAGCATATGTGCTGATTCCTTAAGTTTACGAATTTTCCAATGATGTTCTTTGTTTATGATCTCAGCTTGATCCCACAGTGGGGGGTGATCTTTCTTTTCTCTCCATATGTGGTCAGCCATGCCTGATTTTTCCACTTACCCTCGTGTTACAGCTTTCTGGTGTTCTTGAAGCCTTACCTTAAGGGGGCAGCCTGTCTTCCCTTTATATTTCTTTCTGCAGCTACACGGGATAGAGTACACACAGTCAAAAATCATGTTCTCCTCTATGGGGGTGGTCTTACTTGGGAGAGATATCTGTGAAGTGTTGTCCCGTATTTGAAGGTTGTCCTGATGTTATATGGACCGCAGAGGAGAACATGACTAAAGACTGTGTGTACTCTATCCAGTGACCAAATGAGGACAATAGTCCGAATAATGTAAATAGTGTACATAATACCTCATCTAAGAAATATAGACAGGTACTGAAACTCTTCATATCCAACAAAACATTGAGTGTAATTAACCCTCCCTTAGATTCAACCCTTTTGATCTCAATGCGATTGCAGCCATTAAAAACTAGCTCTCGCCAACCAGATCTATTTTCTTCTCTCCAAAGGTCTGTCCTGCTATTTACCCATGACTGGAGGGAGAAGAAGAGGATTTATACCTTTCCCAAGGGTAGTAGTACATAAGTGAATGTAAAGAGAAAACAGTAGAGTATTGAAATTACTGATTATTTTCACCGTGCATATTGCAAAAGTATAACCAAAGGTACCATGTAAAAAAAGACAATAGGATATTATTTCCAGTCTAATATATTTTGTAAATATATTCTAACCAGACTTATTTAACCCATACAATGAGGTGATTCTGAGGGAATTAGAAGTGCTATCAAAATTCATTATTGGTGGCCACAATCTTAACAGCATAAGACATGCAGATGACACAATGTTGATAGCAGACATTGAAAAGAAAGTACAAGAAGTCTTCCAGAAAATAGTGAAGGAAAATGAAAAAAAAAACATAAATTGAAAGAAAACAGAATTCATAGTTGTCAGCAAAAGGAAAAACCGAACATGCAAATTACAAATTGGAGATACCAAAATCAAACAAATACAACAATTTAAATATTTAGAAAGGGTTTTAACAGAGGCCGGGAAGTGTAACACTGAAATCCAAAAGGGTATTGGGATAGCGAAGTTGCCTTCCAAAAGCTAAGCAAAGTATTATGAAACAGGGAAATTTTGTTAAAAACAAAAAAAAACGTGTACTGAATTGCTATGTAATATTAGTCCTCCTATATAGCAGTGAATACTGAACAATCGCTTCATAAATAAATAAAAAAAGACTTGAAGCAACAGAAATGTGATTCTACAGAAGGATGCTGAGAATATCATGTTTGAATATGTGAGTGGCAACAAGGTTTTATAGAAAATGGAAACAAAAAGGACACTTTATTTTGCATCAGAAAGAGATAGGTTAAATTTCTAGGGCACATAATGAGGAAAGAAGGCTCGGAAAATCTGATACTCACATCATATACTGAAGACAAGAAAGGCAGGGGAAACAGCACATAACATATTTAGTGAGTTTGAGTAAATGGATGTCAGAACAGGGTTTAGAAGAAATAACAAAAACACAAAATTTATTTAGAGCTACAAAGGACAGGAAATTGAGGATAGTCATGATCGCCAATGACCTGAAGAGACATGAAACATAGAAGATCATAAAAATGCTTTGTTCGATGAAAAAATTCATTTAACACACTTGTTATTTTTAAATGATTTGAAACAGTGGTGATGACCATTGTTGGAGAAAACAGATTTGAAACTCAGTTATTGATCAACTGTCAAACAAGATAACATTTTTTTTTGTTTTCTGTCAGAAATTATTTTTCATTCCTGTTTTTTTCTCAGTTAATTGGCAGTATGTTAGAACTATTTTACAGTCAAATGAAAAAATTCTTTAACATTGGAAACTAATTTTCAACTTTTGTCATTTTCTTGCTAAAAGAGAATACTCAGGTGTCTATTTTTAGGACTTTACTATTTATATTTTGAGCATTAATATTATTGTAATATTGTCAACAATTGGAAAAATATTTATTTAGTCAAGAAAAATTGTACATGGTGATCAAATCCAGTGAACTTTCTAACTGTTTTTTCATAGGGACCAGTAGAGTTTGTGAAGAAAAACGTTATACATCTGTATAAATAATTTTTTGA